TTTTTTTTCTGGAAGAAGAGCCTCACCTGCAGTCGGCGCTCACACAGCTGCCAAGACCTGCGGAAGCAGAAGCTGCAGGCTCTCGTGCGGCGAAGAACCATCATGTGGACGCGTCCGAGGACGCCGCATGCAGTTCGGGCCGGTGCTCCAGCAAACACAGCACCTGGCGCTTGACCATGCGTTGTGCCCAAGCCACGTCCCCTCTCACCTCAGTCGCACGTGGGGCTGTACCTGTACCAGAACGAACGGACATGAGTTCATCCAGACCAAGCAGCCAACCGTTTATTGCGTCGGCCGAAACGCCTGCGATCGACTTCGCGGTGCTCCTTGATCCAATACCTACGAGCTGGCATCTCGCGCAGCTCGCCACGGTTCGTATAGAGAGAGACGGCCTGAGACGCTGCACGAAGAGAGCCCGCAGTGTGATGTCGCGGATCTGTTCGAGAGCCTGGCCGTTTAAGTAGGGCCCCTGAAGTCCGGAGCTGTTTTGCACACGCCATGCGGAGCCTCGTAGTGGAGGTCGATCAGATCTTTCTCCGGTCCAAGCTCCGCTAGGTGCTCACGAATCCACTCCGCATATCGTGCTCTCGCTCTTGCCTGGCCGAGCAAGGCAAGACTCTATAACGGAAACGGACGATTTGGAGCTTCGGCCTTCTCTTCCTCCATCGAGATCTTGTTGCGGTTCAACACCATGAAAACCTGCACGTCGCACAACTGAAAATATGACTCGGATCTCACGACCACAGCGGTCGAGACTGGGGGCGCGGCAAGGGCCACCAAGGCTGGACAACGAATCGAATGCTGCAAACGAAGCTGTCACAAGCCGAGGACAGATGCAGATCTTTTAATGTTTTGTGTGCACATCAGGTGCAACCTCGAACACACCTATTGCTGCCTATCGCTCGTCCTTCGTTTTGGTCTGTAAGCATCGACATCACAATGACCCCCGCGCACTCACTGCAGCGGGTCAGTCCATGGCGCTCACGGGCAGACAGCCGCTGTGTCCTCCGACCTCCAATGCGTGTGAGATGCAAAGACGCCGACTCACTCGGACGCTTCTGTTTGGGTTCGGACTCGTCGTTGATCGGGGGGAGGACGCGGTTCCACCTCTGTTCGGCTGCGCTGCGCTTTCGACGCCTGTCGAAGCTGTACGGGCCCGGGCGATTCGGGCGGCAGGTCCACTGGCACCCAAACCAGCATCAGTCGGGTGCTTCGCAGCTGCCCAGCTTCAGTGAACTGGCCTGAGTGGATGTGACTTCCTACGACCCACGCGAGTTTTTAAATTGATAGGACTGCTTGGGTGCGCGGCCGACTTTCTTCTGGTCCGGGTAGAGCAACACCGCCGTGGCATCTTCGGTCTGCACCGGGAGGTACTCGTACACCCGGTCGTACCAGAAGAGCTGACGACGGGCCAGTTGAGACGACGCGTGTCGAGGTAGCTATACACAAACGGCCTTGTAGCGGTGTGCCGTCCCGGACATCGTCCGGATGCAGACGGGTCGCAGCCTGGCGGTTACGAAGTCAGCATTCCTATAGACCACAGCACACCGAGTCTGAGTTACCCACAGTCCGGCCACGTGTTCTTGCAGACGCCGCTGCTGCGCCTTCTTCAGATATGAAGCACCTGTGAAGACGAGGACTTATAGGGGAGGGTCAACACTTCTGCGATAGGAATGATGAGGTCCGAGCGAACCATGGCTGCTCTGCTTCAAACGGCAGGGGGTAACTCGAACCAGCTCCACAACACTGCGGTGCAAGCGAAACTGCTGAATGCTGCCTACACCCGCACAAGACACAGCCGCACAACCAGCCACAAGCACATTGGACCCCGTAGGACTACTACTACTACTACTACTACTCTTACTACTACTCTTACTACTACTCTTACT